CTGAGGTAATAGTAACCACAGTGTATTGTGCCTTTTTTATCTCAAAGGCATGTACTACAGCATCTTAGAAGACAGAAGACTCAGCTTTGATGGTAAAAGTACAAGAAGAAGGAATGGAAATGAAGAATGAATATGATCTTGTAGATAATTGATTTTATATCTTTCTTGCCTGGCATAAATTAAGCCCTGGCAACGGTTCTTAGAACCAGAAAGAAAGTTTCAATGGACCTTTTAATTCTAGATGTGGCCAATGATTGATAATAGATTTTATAGTTTTCTGCCTGGTGTAAATTTAGCCATGGCTATGGTTCTTAGAACCAGAAAGAAAACACCTCAGTGGCCCATTTAAATGACCCACGTGGCCAGTGATTAATCATAGATTTTATAGTTTTCTGCCTGGCATAATTCTAGCCATGGCGATGGATCTTAGAACCAGAAAGGAAACCTCTCAATGGACCTTTTTAATTCTAAGTGGGGCCATTGATGGATAATAGATTTTATACCTTTCTTGCCTGGCATAATTCTAGCCATGGCGATGGTTCTTAGGACCAGAAAAAAAGCCTCAACGGCCCTTTTTAATGCTAGGTGTGGCCGTTGATCTAGGAAAGAATTTATAGCTTTAGAATCCCTGAGATTGAGGGGAGGAACATTTGCACCCTGTTGCCAAATGTTCCTCAGAAGAGACACGTCGAAGGAAGAAACAAAGGCGAAGAAAGAAAAAAGAAGAACCAAGACAGCAAGAAAATGTCTCCAGTTCAAGCTCTATTAGCCTTTGGCTGTGATGGCGCCTCCTACGCTGTGAGGTAAGTTGTATTCTTCAAAGTTTTATGATATGGAGGGAGGTCAATGGTCCCCCCCCCAGCAAAAAAAATTGATGGTCCATTCTTCCTAGGTAAGTAGGGGAAACACCTGCATCTGAGGTAATAGTAACCACAGTGTATTGTGCCTTCTTAGGTGTAAAACCTCAGTGGCAGCTGAAGTAATGTTGATTTTTTTTTTTATCTCAATGGCATGTACTCTACACCATCCTAGAAGACAGAAGACTCACTTGTCAGCCTGCAGTGTTGATGGTGAAAAAGGAGGAAGAAGGAATGGAACGCAAGAATGAACATGATCTCCACCAAGAATGCTATTTCACCAATTATGTCAAAACTGACCTTTAGAACAATCGCTGAAAATGTAAGCCACTTTCATGATCACACCACACTACACATTTTAATCCTATCTGTGACCATTGCTACATAATAGAGATTCTAGTTTTCTTGCCTGTTGTATTTTTAGCCCATTCTAGGTGTGTTCCATGATGTACATAAGATTCCATACTTTTCTTGCCTCCTTACTGTTAGGCCTGGCAATGGTTCTTAAAACCCAAAAGAAAATGTCTATGGCCCTTTCTATTGCTAGGCTTGGTCACTGATTATTAAAACAGTAATTAGTATTCTGGCCTAGTGTAATGTTAGCCATAGGTGTAGTTCTTAGAACTTGAGAAGGGCCACACAAGCATTCCACATGCCAATCCATCCTGTAAATAGTGATGACTCATTTTTAGAGGTCTTTCAGTCCCTGAGCTTGTGTGACACTCACACCGAATGGATGTGGATAATTATCGGCTCCCAGACTCACTCAGTCCATGAGCAGATACTTTCTGAGACTCACACTAGAAGTCTCTCTCTTTCAGTCCCTGAGTGAGCAGCGAGGGCAAATCAGAGGGCAAATCACACTGGAGGCGTCAATAGCCCTCGGCTGGAAGCCTCTCCCGGTCCCTGAGGCTCCCCAACTGAGTCTCAAACTGGAAGGGAATCCTTTTGGATCGCTTCCCTCACTGGCCAATGATGATCATGATCATTGCAGTCCATGAAACCAGAGAGACAAAAGAGATGCACTATTCCTGATTCCATCTGCACCGACCCCCATGTTTAGGCATGGACGCTAGGTCACGCCTCCTTCGCCCCCTGCCACTCCCCTCAGCCCATTTACAGCCAGCTTTCCTCCTCCGTTGCCCTCCCGCAGCCATTCTCCACGGCCAGTGGACCCTTGGCCCTCTGCCCGTCGCCCTTCGGCCTGGACAATTCACCCAGACACCCTTTGTCCCAGGCCTTTGGCTATATGGGACAAATAGCCCCCAGCCATGGTGCTGCGGGGGCAGCATGCGATGTGCAACCCCAGGGGCTGGGGAGGGCAGCTGTGATGCAAGATTTTTTTAAAAAAGTGCTCTGCTCTGAATGTTTTGGGGCCTTGCAGCTCTGACCCCAGAATCGGAAGGAGGGGGACTGGCAGCAGAAGTAGCAGCCACCGGGGCCACTGGGGGGAGCAGTCAGACAAGAGTGTGTTGGGGGAACAAGGGAGGGAGGGAGGGGCACCTCAAGGGGGCTTCACGAAGACAACTTGACTTGCAACTCAAACGAAAGAGGGGAGGAGGAGAAAGGCCGGAGCAGCTTCTGCCACAGCCAGGGAGGCAGGTTAGGGGGGCACACAGGCAAACAGAGGGCTGGTGTGCTGCTGGAACTGGAGCGTCATGGGAGGGAAGCGTGGGCTAATGGGACTGCTTGCGCCTTGGGAGGGAAGGGAGGGCAACTGGCAAGGGCTGGGGCTGATGGGACTGCGTGCGCCGTCGTGGGAGGGAAGGGAGGGCAAATGGCAAGGGCTGGGGCTGATGGGACTGCGTGCGCCGTCGTGGGAGGGAAGGGAGGGCAAATGGCAAGGGCTGGGGCTGATGGGACTGCGTGCGCCGTCGTGGGAGGGAAGGGAGGGCAAATGGGAAGGGCTGGGGCTGATGGGACTGCGTGCGCCGTCGTGGGAGGGAAGGGAGGGCAAATGGGAAGGGCTGGGGCTGATGGGAATGCGTGCGCCGTCGTGGGAGGGAAGGGAGGGCAAATGGGAAGGGCTGGGGCTGATGGGACTGCGTGCGCCGTCGTGGGAGGGAAGGGAGGGCAAATGGGAAGGGCTGGGGCTGATGGGACTGCGTGCGCCGTCGTGGGAGGGAAGGGAGGGCAAATGGGAAGGGCTGGGGATGATGGGACTGCGTGCGCCGTCGTGGGAGGGAAGGGAGGGCAAATGGCAAGGGCTGGGGCTGATGGGACTGATGGGACTGCGTGCGCCGTCGTGGGAGGGAAGGGAGGGCAAATGGCAAGGGCTGGGGCTGATGGGACTGCGTGCGCCGTCGTGGGAGGGAAGGGAGGGCAAATGGCAAGGGCTGGGGGTTGGAACTGCGTGACCCGTCGTGGGAGGGAAGGGTGGGTAGAAGCCAAGCTGGCCTTGCTGTTTGCCTGTGTGCCCCCCTAACCCGCCTCCCTGGCTGTGGCAGAAGCTGCTCCGGCCTTTCTCCTCCTCCCCTCTTTCGTTTGAGTTGCGAGTCAAGCTGTCTTTGTGAAGTCCCCTTGAGGTGCCCCTCCCTCCCTCCCTCGTTCCCCCAACACACTCTTGTCTGACTGCTCCCCCCAGTGGCCCCGGTGGCTGCTACTTCTGCTGCCAGTCCCCCTCCTTCCGATTCTGGGGTCAGAGCTGCAAGGCCCCAAAACATGCAGAGCAGCCACAGCACTTTAAAAAATCTTGCATCACAGCTGCCCTCCCCAGCCCCTGGGATTGCTCATTGCACGCTGCCCCCGCATCACCATGGCTCCTGCCTGCCACCCAGTTGGCTGTGGGCTATTTGTCCCGTACAGACAAAGACCCAGGACAAACGGTATCTGGGTGAATTGGCCGGGCCGAAGGGCGACAGGCAGAGGGCCAAGGGCCCACTGGCCGTGGAGAATGGCTGCGGGAGGGCAGCGGAGGAGGAAAGCTGGCTGTAAATGGGCACGGGTGAGTTGATGGGCTGCATTTCTTGGGCAAAAGGCTGCACTGCTGCTGAGGCCATCCTGACTCAGAGGTGATGCCAAGGCACTCCTGACAGGGGTCTTCCAGCCCCCGAGTTACTACTCTGGGAAACTCACACTGAATGAGTAGGCAGCCAGACGCTCCCAGGCTCGTCCAGCCTCTGAGCACACACTCTGTGAGACCCACCCTGGGAGGGAGACCCTTTCAGTACCTGAGTGAGCAGCCAGGGCGAGTCACACTGGAGGAATCAACAGCGCTCAACTACAAGCCTCCTCCGGTGCCCTAGCTGAGTCTCAAACTGGAAGGGAATCCTTTTGAATCGCTTCCCTCCCAACTTCATACCCTGAGAAATAATGTCAGCTGCAGCCAGATCTCTTGCAACCAAAAGTAAACCTGGTGACACACTTTAATACGAGGTATTGCCATCTCTACAAATTAATAACTAGTTTTTTGCTAGAGTGAAACATTATGTCCTCGAACTGGAAAATAAATCTGTGTGACCCTTTTAAATTCTAGATGTGGCCATTGAAACCCTGAGTAGATTTCTTGCCTGGCTTAATTTAGGCACGATGGTCGTTCTTAGAACCAGAAAGCATCTCAATGGCCCTTTTTAACGCTGGGTGTGCCGGTGATTGATAATAGATTTTATAGTTTTCTGCCTGGCATAAATTTAGCCACAGCCATGGTTCTTAGAACCAGACAGAAAACCTCAACCGCTCTTGTTAATGTCTGGTGTGGCCAGTGATTGATAAAAGATTTCTATTTGGAATAATTTTATCCACGGCTGTTGTTTAAAATGTGTAAGTTATGTTTTGACTGATAAATATTAAACATGACACACAGTATGGCGGTCACCTCAAGAATTTTGATTTCTTTTGTCACACACATTTGTCTTTTTGTTCCTGAAATTTCTGTTTGACATGTATTTTTTGTAATACAACTGAGTTTTACTCTTGATTTACTGTTGTTAAGTAGTTGTGATGCTTATGGTAGACAAGTTTTATCTTTTGCCTGTTTTTATGTATTCTTTCTTATCACCATCTCTTCACCAAGAGATACCTGTTGTGATATTTATGTATTTGAACACTGAAGTTGTGTTTTCTTTCTTCCGAGAAAAATCTTTTGATGACAACTATGGTTCCTTTTACACCTCACCTTTTGTCAAAAATGTCATTTTAAATTAGTGAACTATTTAACCCATGGTATTTTATCATTGCTTTTGTAATTTTTGTGTGACTTTTTATCCTTAAAATATTGGATTATGCTTTTATGTATTTTATCTGTAAGACTGTATTATGTTTTGAATTGTTGTACAAACTGTTGCAACTGGGTAACGCTTCGAAGATATGATGCAGAACAATAAAGTATTTTTCGAGTCTTCCTTCACTACATTTGGGATCCTGCAGCAGGAGCTTGGACCTGTTGGGCACCTTGTGCTCCTGCCCTTTGCCGAAATCACCGAGGATCATCTTTTGTAAGGATTTGGGGGTTTGGTATATTCAGAAATGTCCTGTTCTACCAAAATAGAAGTTTTTTGTGCTTTACATAACATTTTAGGTTTCTCTCTCTCTCTCTCTCTCTCTCTCTCTCTCTCTCTCTCTCTCTCTCTCTCTCTCTCTCTCTCTCTCTCTCTCTCTCTCTCTCCCTCCCTCCCTCCCTCCCTCCCTCCCTCTCTCATCTATTATCTATCTCACCTATTAATCATCTATATCAGACATCCCAAACACAAGGCCCAGGGGCCGGATGCAGCCCACAAAGTGGTTTCATGTGGCCCGCAAAGCCATCCTGGAAACAGTGAGGGAACAGCCCCTTGTGCCTTGGCCCTGGCCCAGGCCGGCTGGGAGCCAATGTACAATTTTGTGGTGGCCATCTTGGCACTTGCCCCAGTGGACCATGCCTTGGCACTTGCCCCAGTCCCACCCCCTTTTGCCAGAGACCCTCAGATCTGTCCCACAGGCACCCTTGATGCGACTGGTGTAGAACTGACCACGCCCACCCAGTAGGCCACACCCACTCCATGCCCACCCAGTAGGCTGCACCCACTTTGGTCACACCCACCCCCCAGAGCAACCGCAATGCTGATGCGGCCCTCGGTGAAATTGAGTCTGATACCCCTGATCTATATCTATTTAATCTATCCAGTAACCTTTTCTGCTGTACCTTAGGGGAAAAAAATGTCATGAGCTTACCTGGCCACAGGAGGGCAGCATTCCCTGTTTTGTCCTCCTCAGTGCCCTATTAGAAATGAAATTTTAGCTCCTGCAATTATCTTTTATATTCCCAGCATCCTCTGCTGTGGCTGCTTTGAGCTACCATCAAAGGAAGGAAATGAAAGAATAAAAATAAGCCACTCTGGGAGTTCTTTGCCAAACGTTACAGCACACACTGGCCACAGGAGGGCAGGCTTTGCTGCTTTGACTAAACTCAATTTTATAGATGTTTGCTTATATTCCTTTATCAAAGGTGTACTCTGAGTGCCCCTACGACACAGGTTGGCAACCTGCGGCTCTGGAGCCACATATGGCTCTTCGTGGCTTATTAATATTAATAAGGTTTTAATAATAAAGAATAATAATCTTAAAACATCATTAAAGAGGTTCATTTATTTTTGTGGCTGCAGTATCTGATTTGACAGAGTTTTCCGTCCCTTGGCTATAAGGATGGAGGCCATTAAAAAAAGCCTACCATGGACTCCACAAGCTAAAGCTATGGGACGGAAAACTGTGCCCTCCTGTGGTCAAAAACACGTATTGCGGCTACCAAAAGAAAAACCTTTTTAATAGCATTTTAAGATTACAGTACTCTATCTTTATTAACGGTATTAACACCTTATTAATAGGGCCAGGGGAGGTCCGTTTGCTGCAACACAGGCGCGGAAGAAGAAATCTGCTTCAAAAGCCTTAAACCTAGTTAAGGAGGACTATGATTCCCTATTAATATTAATAAGGTTTTAATAATGCCATTGAAAAGTTTTTTAATGGCTGCTCTACTTGCTTCAACCACAGGATGGCACTGTTTTTTGACCCTTAATAGCATTCAATAGCTTCAACAGCTAAATAATAATAATCTTAAAATCATATTAAAAGGGTTTATTTCCTTTTGTGGCTGCTATTCCTTCTTTAACCATAGGACTCAATTCTTCCCAGAGGGCTTGACTGCTTTAGTCTCAATAAATAACTTCCCCTCTCCCAGCAAACAGGTGATGGGATTATAAGCGGGCCTCCTGTGGACTTTCCTGTTTTTAAATATCCCTAGGCTATAACCATCCCAAGCAAAGCAGTTACCAACAGAATAAGAGATGTGGAGTTCCAGCTAGAACTTAACAAACTATCTCTCTGCAGCAAGAAAATAGATTAAATGGGGTGTGTGGGAACCAGCAAGGTATCTGAAAGACCTGAGCTTTCCCAAGAGTAGAATACCATTTTTTAGAGCCAGACATTTTAATATCCTCTCCTTCGCACTCCTGCAGGGCAGAAATGGTAAAACCCCAAGACTGAGTGAAGGTGTACTTGTGGCAGTGGGGAAGTTGAAAATCTCTCTTACCTGTCTCGTCCCCTCCTTTCCATTTTGGATTCTGCTGCTAAGATGGCCCTGGAAGTCCTTTCTGACTAACACCACAACCACCACCACCCCCGGCCAGAAAGGAAAGCATTAGGCCCTTAGGAAAAGGCCTTGTCTGCACAGCTAACCGGACTGTGCGACGGGACCCTGGAAGAACAGGGTCTTGCATCTCTTTGACCGAGCTTCGACCTGAAATTTATCCTGATGCTTAATTTGAACTCATTTCAATGGCATGTTGCTCCCATTTCCACTTGATGATTTAAAAAACAAAAGTACCGCTGTTGCAAGCAGGCGCCGTTATATTTGCCCTTTTGTGTTTTTTATTTTAAAAGTGTGGACAGCAATTAACCCTAACGATTTTCAAAATCTGGTTTACGGTTATGTTTAATCCTAGAGTTTAGTACGCTAAGATTTAAGATGTAATCTATGTTTATAGTTATTTCTAATTTTACATTGGGTACGTTTGTTTCTAAGTTATTTTATATCTAGGCAGCTTTTGTTTCTTCTACCATCAAAGTGCTTCATAAAACACTAACGCTGTAATCTACAAACCACATTAACGCAATTGAAATTGCTCTTAAAATTACACAAGAGGATTGCTCAGAAATCAAAAGCTCGGCCAAAGAGATGCGTTCTTACCTTGTCCCTAAATGCCCGGAAAGAGGGGCCCGTGAGCGTCACCCGAAGATGCTGTCGCACGGCCTGCCAGGTGTGCCAGAAAAGGCCCTTTCCGGTAGACTGCCAAGCTCTGCTAGTGGGAAGGCCCTTGGAGAGGTCCCTCCCGCTATTTCCCACCAAAACTGCAATATTGAGAGGAGCAAACTCCCACCCTGTTTCCCGCTTCCTCTTGGGGTTTTTACTGGGCTCCCAACCTTACTCCATTTCCATCCCTGTCTCTTTAAAAGGAAAAGCCTTAACCTCACTGAAAGTGGCAAAGGGGGGGGGGGAATCCTCAAGGACAACTTACCAGTTTCCCCCCAGTTCCTTCTTAACAGCCACAGCAAGGGGGGGGTCACCCATCCAGCGGAAGCTTTAGGCTGGAAATCCAGGGAGCATGACCTCCTTTCTCCACTGCCTTTTCCAAAAAGGTTGAAGCTTTCAGCCGGCAGGCGTCCCCACCCTTCCTCCTGGCCTGGCCGCTACATCAGTCGATGCAGCTGTGACTGGGGGAAGTTAGCAAAATTGCAAGCCGGACTCTGCAAAGACCCGGGTCTCCTGCTTCCCCCAGAGAGACCTGCTTTTCCTTTCTCTTACCTCTGGGCGGTGGGTGGGCTGTTTACGGCAACCTGGAGAGGAAAGGAAGAAATCTCCTACCCTTCCTAACCCTGACTTGTTTTGGAGGAAGGTCTACAAAGTTAGATGGACGGCGAACAAATTAATAAATGCCATTAGTTGCAACTTCTCACGTCTCATCCCTTTTATCCATCCTTTAAATGATAAACCTAGAAGGGAACGATAGGTTATACACATTTTCAAAATAAACTGCATTTATTTTTATATTGATCGTTTCTTAATAAAAATGCACACAATTTCAAATAGAGATTTGATATTGCACCTATATTAATACATAGGTATCTCTAAGAAATGTAGTTTAGAAACATCAAACCTAAATACAAACCTACATACGTACGAGCTCCTTAAAAAAATAGCAGGGCAGGACAAACAAAACTATTCTTGAATAAAAACACCTGGATTTGCTTGAAGGGGGCGAGCGGGGTGCACTTTTAGGAGGAGCAACCTCTTAAGGGGTAACACAGGGAAGCGCGATACGACTGGTTCTTCTACACACGGGACTCGGGCGCTGGGAAAACACCATTCAACGGCTGCCTTGCTTGGCAGCCTTCGAGGAGACCCCCGAGACGGGTCGGAACCCCCTTCCCGACCCGGACGCCAAAAGCCTGCCCCGCCTCTAAAAAGGAGCTAAAAAGAAGCCGCGGCTGAGCTCGCGTAAACGACCCCGAAGTGTATTGTTAAAACAAGCTAACTTCATCTCTACGTTCCCAATTTAGCCCCTATAGCTGAAAGGGAAAGAGCGCAAAGAGACCAGGTTTCACAACCTCCGGCGCCGCCGCCGCCACCGGTTCTCGGTCGCATTCTTACAGACGGGGGGGGGGGGCGGCGAAAGGCCAGGAACGGCCAGGCGGACATCTTAGGGGAGAGGACCAAACGAGTGGCCGGGGAGGAGGCGGGGGAGGGGGAAGGTGAGGATCCCCCGCTAACTAGGTAACAGAGAAAACCGGTATCTTTCTGGAATAGGAAATGCGGGGATGGCTCGGCTCACCTGAGGCAGTAGCAGGCTTCCTTTTTTCCTTCCTGCGGCTCCGTCAACGTAGTGCAGAAAAGAGCACGGGAAAAAGCAGGGAACCGTGCTGCGAACGGACAGGAAGTTGGAGGCGGCCTCGGCGGATGGACAGGAAGTCGGCCGTATTGGGAACGTCGTCGTCGGTGGTCATGCTACGGGACGGAAAACTGTGCCCTCCTGTGGTCAGAAACGGGTATTGCGGTCGCCGAAAAAAATAAACCTTTTAAATGGGATTTTAAGGCTATTTATTCCCCCCCCCTCTTTTTTATTAACCCCTTATTAATATTAATAGGGCGACGGGAGGACCTTTTGCCATTTTAAAGCTTTATTTCTTTTGGTGGCTGCTATACCCGGCCTGGCCACGGGAGGGCACTGTTTTCCATCCCTTAGCGATAGTATCGGCATTGAGGCCGTGGAAAAGGCCTACGATGGCCTCGATGGTAATGCTATGGGACGGGAATTGCGGCCGCCAAGAGAAATAAGCCTTTTTAACGGGGTTTTAAAGGCTAACCTCGTTGATCGGACGTGGAGTCCGCCCACCCCAGAAAGTCCCCGCACAAGGAAGGTGAAGGATGATTAAGACGGACGGACCGGAAGGCGGCCATGTTGGCAAGGTCGCATTTCAAAGACAATGGAGGACGGCAAACTTGAGCGGACAGGAAGACGGCCATGCTGAGGAGGTCTCCCCGAAAAAAACTAGGGGGAAAGATTAAGAACGAAGGAACGGAAGTCGGCTACGATGGAAAGGTCCTTTCACCGCAGGACCTGGGGGACGGCCGATACCGACGGACAGGAAGTCCGCTGTGCAGAAAGGGCCTCTCGGAGAGTACTCGTAAAGAACCAGCCGGCGGACATGCGCAGAAGGCCGAGGGAAGCGGCCCGTCCCTTTCGCAGGAGCATAGAGCGGCGATCCTTTGGTTGACCCTCTGCGCGTTGAGGCTTAGCTTCTCGGTGTCCCGATCCTGGGCAAAAGGCCTACCACGGCCTCCATGTTAATGCTATGGGACGGGAAATACTGCCCTCCTGTGGTCAAAGACGGGTATTGCTGCCGCCCAAAGAAATAAATACTTTTTAATAGCATTTTAAGCTTATTCTTCTCTATTTTTATTCTGTATTTATTAACGCCTTATTATTAATATTAACGTGGCGACGGGGGGCCCGGTCGGTGCGACAGGGGCGCAGAAGAAATCCTGGTTCCAATCTTAAACCGAGTTAAGGCCCTATTAATAAGATTTAATAATCAAGAATAATCATCTTAAAACGCCATTAAAGAGGTTTATTTATTTTTGTGGCTGCAGTATCTGATTTGACCAGTTTTCCGTCCCTTAGCAGGGCTGGCTCAGGAATTCTGGGAGTTGAAGTCCACCAGTCATAAAAGAGCCAAGGTTGCCTACCCCTGACCTGACCCCTTGGCCTTTGACCTGACCCAGTGACCCCCGGCCCTTGACCTTTGACTTGACCCTGTGACCCTTAGCCTGACCCCTTGACCCTTGACCTGATCTCTCAACCTTTGACCTTCTTGCCCCAAAAGAGAGATAAAGACAAACGCAACACAACTACTGAAGTTCCCCCTGTGCTCGGAAAAACAGTGCTGACTTGATAGGACCGAAAATGATATCGGAACCACCCTGGGCTTCATCTGCCTCCCGCTTGCTGCAAAGCTACCCGCTTACCTGTCTCATACCCTCCTTTCCGTTTTGGATTCTGCTGCTAAGATGGCCCTGGAAGTCCTTTCTGACTTACACCCCCCCCATCCCCACCCCCACCCTGGCGAAAAAGTAAAGCATTAGGCCCGGAGGAAAGGGCCCTGTCTGCACAGCTAACCGGACTGTGCGACGGGACCCTGGAAGAACAGGGTAATCTTGCATTTCTTTGACCGAGCTTCGACCTGAAACTTATCCTGATGCTTAATTTGAACTGATTTCAATGGCATAAGGTTGCTCCCGTTTTCCCTTGATGATTTAAAAAACAAAAGTATCGCTGTTGCAAGCAGGCGCCGTTAGTTACGCTTTTGTGTTTTTTATTTTAAAAGGGTGGACAACAATTAATCCTAACCATTTTCAAAATCTGGTTTACGGTTATGTTTATTCCTAGAGTTTAGTACTCTAAGGTTTAAGATGTAATCTATGTTTATAGTTATTTCTAATTTTACATTGGGTACGTTTGTTTCTAAGTTATTTTATATCTGGGCAGCTTTTGTTTCTTCTACCATCAAAGTGCTTCATAAAACACTAACGCTGTAATCTACAAACCACATTAACGCAATTGAAATTGCTCTTAAAATTACACAAGAGGATTGCTCAGAAATCAAAAGCTCGGCCAAAGAGATGCGTTCTTACCTTGTCCCTAAATGCCCGGAAAGAGGGGCCCGTGAGCGTCACCCGAAGATGCTGTCGCACGGCCTGCCAGGTGTGCCAGAAAAGGCCCTTTCCGGTAGACTGCCAAGCTCTGCTAGTGGGAAGGCCCTTGGAGAGGTCCCTCCCGCTATTTCCCACCAAAACTGCAATATTGAGAGGAGCAACCTCCCACCCTGTTTCCCGCTGCCTCTTGGGGTTTTTACTGGGCTCGCAACCTTACTCCATTTCCATCCCCATCTTTTTAAAAGGAAAAGCCTTAACCTCACTGAAACTGGCAAAAGAAAAAGAAAAAAAAGGACAACTTCTCTGTTTCCCCCCAGTTCCTTCTTAACAGCCACAGCAAGGGGGAGGGAGGTTTAATGGCATTTTAAGGTTATTCTTCTCTATATTTGTTATTAACGCATTATTAATATTAACGGGGTGACAGGAAGCCCGATTGGTGCGACACAGGTGCAAAAGAAATCCTGGTTCGAGTCTTACACTGAGTTAAGGCCTATCGTGGCTTAATATTAATAAGGTTTTAATAATAAAGAATAATAATCTTAAAATGCCATTAAAGAGGTTTATTTATTTTTGTGGCTGCGGTATCTGATTTGACCAGTTTTTCGTCCCTTAGCTATAGGATGGAGGCCATTAAAAAGGCCTACGATGGACTCCAAGCTAAAGCTATGGGACTGAAAACTGTGCCTCCTGTGGTCAACAATGGGTATTGCAGCACCAAAAGAAAAACCTTTTTAATGGCATTTTAAGATTACGGTATTCTCTATCTTTATTAATGGTATTAACACCTTATTAATAGGGCCAGGGGAAGCCCGTTTGCTGAAACGCAGGCACGGAAGAAGAAATCTGCTTCAAAAGCCTTAAACCTCATTACGAAAGCCTAGGATGGCCTAATATTAATAAGGTTTTATTAAGAAAGAATAATAACTTTAAAAATGCCATTAAAAGGGTTGATTTCTTTGGGTGGCTGCTATTTCCCGGCCCCCGGAACGGATGAGGGAGAAGGAATCCTGCTTCAAAAGTCTTAAACCGAGTTAATGTGAGTTTCCGTAGATGCAGAATAATCTTAAAATCACATTAAAAGGTTTAATTTCCTTTTGTGCCTACTGCTCCTTCTTTGACGGCAGGACTCTTACGCTCTAGGACCGCTTATCGAAAAAGGTGGCCTCCCCTCCTATATCTCCAGCAAAGGAGGACGTGTTGGGTGGCTTGGAGAAGAGCTGGGACGCAAAGCTTGCGTTAAAAACAACATCCAGCATTCTTTCACAAATCGATTGCGACCGTATATTAAGTCTGAAAACTCACCGGGAATGGGCAAACTGCTCTGGAATATTCTGAAAAGCTTTTCTGCCACATTGTGGCTGTTGAAACTCTGGCGGAAATTGTGTGGATGTCTTATGTGCCTGTTAGAATCTCTTTGGTTCCCCAAGTTTTGTATCGGGCTGTAATTATAATTTCGTATTGGCTAAATTTGAAGACCCCTTGCCCGGGCCTTGTCCCGACCCTGATCTAAAGATGAGAAACCTTACGAGCAGGGATATTATACCTTTTATTGAACTTCCTTTGGGTTTACGTTAAGGTTGGTTAAAATTGGGTTTTCTCCCCTAGAAGTGACTGCCAACATGCAACCAAACAAAAAAGTGAAGCAAAAG